ATGCTGCACAACTTGCTTTCGTCGTCGTCACTACCGAACAACGCATCACCGCACCTGCTGTGGACAGGAAAACAGGGCAGCACAAAAATGTTAAGAGTTTTCGGCTGCATGGTACAGTACCGACCCCCATCTGCACGAGCCGGCCGATTTTCCCAACGAGCACAGTGGGGACTACACCTGGGCATCGAAAGGAATTACAACGCGTGGAAGATTTTCGACGTCCACTCCAAAGAAACAGTGGCAGCACGTGACATCATTTTCTACGAACGACTCACCCTTCCGACGTATCTTGCTAACCTGGAAGAAAATCGGGATCCCACAGGTGGCTTCCGTGGTGACCGACACTTCGCCTCGACAGCAGACGAAGCTGACTGGGACGAGCAGAATGTGGATAACGCCTCAGACAAAGCAGGACCACTCCCTTACTGCTCCGTGCCTATCCCGATGGACGACGAAAATCCTCGCGAAAGCGTCAACGCCGAAACTTATTTCGACCTCGCCGACACTGGTTACGTTACACCTGCAGAAGTCAACACCAACGAAGCAGAACGCATAGGGCCCAATTTCATACCTGACCCAGAAGCAGGTGACGAAGAAGGTTATCCCGCGGACACAACACTCCCCCGCTACACACCGAGTGGCCTTCAGATACTTGGTCTCGTCACCGCGGTCCACGGCACAGATACTCCTAAGGAGCCTGCCACAGTTCAGCAGGCTCTGGGGGGGGAGCATAGGGAAAAATGGCGTGAAGCCATGGACAAGGAACTGAAAGCACTACAGGAGCGCAACACCTGGAAGGTTGTTCCTATCGGTGTGGCACGAAACAAGACGATACTCACCGGGAAGTGGGTCTTCCGTGTGAAGACGAAAGCAGATGGCACCATCGACAAGTTCAAGGCACGCTGGGTCGTACGTGGCTTCGACCAAGAGCACGGACGCGATTTCACTGAGACATTCGCACCGGTTAGTCGACATACTTCACTACGGATTCTTCTCGCGGTCGCCGCTATGAAAAAGAAGAAACTGCGGCAAATCGACGTCGCCAATGCTTTTCTCTACGCACCCGTCGACGCAGAAATCTACGTCGAACTCCCACATGGTTCTCACGGAGAGCCCAATCAAGTCTGTCAGCTGCAAAAATCTATGTACGGGATTGAACAGGCCCCGAGACTGTGGCAGCAGTACTTACACGCTCGGCTCACTCGCATCGGATTCAAGCAGCTGCCGCACGACCAAGGCATGTACCGATTCACGAAAGGCGACGACTATATTCTACTGATCGTCTACGTAGATGATCTGCTTTACATCGGGTCAACCGACAATATCACTACCTGGTTCGAAGGGGAGCTACAGAGAGATCTTACGCTCACGGTTTCATCTACCGTCACGCAGTACCTCGGCCTCAACATCCAAGAAGAAGAAGGCGCGATCTATCTTAACGCCGCAAAATATGCCGACACCATCGCCAAACGGTTCGCACTCACGCCAACTTCCATCTCTACGCCATACCGCTACACGGCAGGAAATGACAAGGCAGAATCTGCTCCACTGAAACCCGCCGGCATACGCAACTACCAGAGAAAGCTAGGATGCCTTCTCTTCGCGGCCGTCACCTGTCGTCCAGACCTATCATACTCAGCAAGTCAACTCGCCACCTACCTCAAAAGGCCTGAAGACGAACACATGAAGGAGCTCGATCGCGCTCTACACTACCTCATAAGCACTCCGACAATCGGCCTGATCTACTACAAGAACATAACTACAACGCCCAAGCTAATCGGCTACGTCGACGCCGACCACGCCGGAGATCCTGACAACAGGCGCTCGCGCACAGGCTACATCTATCGTCTCGAGCCTATCGGACCTATCTCATGGCAGTCGAGCAAACAGGAATTAATCGCCCTCTCCTCAGCTGAAGCTGAATATATCGCACTCTGCTCAGCCACCAAGGAAGGACTGTACCTTCGCGAACTACTGGAGGAAGCGAAGCTGGCCCAGTTACCCAGCTTCACCCTATTTTGCGACAACCAGTCGGCAATTCACATCGCCAACAAAAATGGATTCGCGAACAGGACGAAACATATCGCCCTGCGATATTTCTTCGTAAAAGACGAGATCGAGAATGGGAGACTTGAACTGTCTTACTGCCCCACATCCGAGATGGCAGCTGATTACTTGACCAAGAAGCTCGGAAAGTCGAAGTTCGAATATTGCATGCTGCTGACTGGACAGAGCCACGTCATCTGCAGCGACACTCCAGAAGCGAAGGGGAGTGTTGGAAACAACTAATTCAAGCGCCTCTGTCGTGTCGAAACACCAAGACAGAAGCGAAGCAGATCGTATCGAAACATCGGTGAGTCAACCCTCGGAGGTTGAATAACTGTTGGAGGTTACGCGAAAGTCAAAGGTCAGCGACCTTTGACCTGACAAATGCAGCGCGACAGCAAGGACAAACAACTGTCTCGATACTGAGCAGTTGCCCGAGTCGACACTGTATCGAACCGCAACAGCAACAGTAAAACAGTTAGTAACCGTATCTCTTCATACTCTCTGTATTCTTATAAAAGCTTGTATCTCTTTTGTTTAATCAACTTACTTTGCCCTCACATACAAGCGCAAGGTGGTTCACAATCCTTTATTAAAACGCTTCCGCTACTACATCATCCTACCCTTGAATTCTGTCCTGCAAAGATCCTAAGGGCCTTTTTCAGCCCAACAAACCAAAGTCGTTGACTAGGCGACAACAGCAGGAGGTTGAAGCGAATGTCAAAGGTCAGCGACCTTTGACTTGACAAAGGCAGCGCGACAGCAAGGACAAATAATTGACTCGTTATTGAGCAGTTACCCGAGTCGTCGCTGTATCGAACCGCAACAGCAGTTACAGTTAAACCCTTCGTATTCCTTGTAATCATATATATATATGCTTGTATCTCTTTGCTTTAATCAATTCATATTGTTATCACATACTAGTACAAGGTGGTTCACTCAATCCACTATTACGCTTCCGCTAAATACATCACTACCAGGGCCTATGTTATCAGGATAATTTATCCTGATTCTCCTGAATTCAGGATAGGTGTCGTGTGCTTCTCCTGAAAAAACAGCATAAGGGAATTACTTGTCCTGTAAAATCAGTATAATGGTTATTTTGCGTACTGAAACTCAGGATAACGCTGTAGGTTCAGCCCTGACGACTCAGGATAATGTCGAATCTCGCCCTGAAGCGAGATGTACTGTACGAAAAATCTCCTGGGTTTCGGGGCCAAAAGTGTACAAGGCGAACGCTTCGGATGATGGAGCCAGTTGGAATCGAGCAGGCAACCTACTGCGTAGCAATCTTTCGCTTTACCCACTACAACACTTCATGTTCGACTCGCCGAACAACAAAATGTATAACAATATTGTTTTGCGCCAGCTTTTCCATCCAATTTGGCCCACGATGTTCACCGCCACCTTCGCCATCTCCTTGTACTGTGCTGTAACACTTTCGCACCATGCAGCTGCCAGCGACTTGCACTGCCAGCCACTTGCAGCTGCACCCCAGAATGACACACTTCGAATGTGGAGAGCATTTCGATCCCCGCTAACATAACACGCGCGAAATATACAGGATTGTACGAAATGTAGCACTGAGCTGCCAGGATACTCTCAAATGTAGCACTGACATTTCAGGATACCTCACCCTGTGCAGCCCTGACAATTCAGGGCAGATTCTGATTTCCTAAAAACTGCCCTGAGGCCTCAGTGTACCCCCAAACCAATCTGAGGGCCTGATCACTACTCTGAGAGTTTAGTCTTGAACGATCATGAGTTTTTCAGCCCAACACCTGTAACCCTTCCCTAGGATCAATCGGGGATCACCAGTGGACCTCTGACACACTTATCACCTTAAAGCAATAATACCTTACAAGTGATGGAGGGGGACCACATAGTTTCACTGCTAATAAACACGTCAATATGAATCAACACACAATAGGGGTGCCGTTTCAGGCCCGCCTCCTCTTCGCCTGGCGGCGGCCTCCTTTACCCTTCTTTTCTTTCGAAACCTTCTCGCCATTGTCTATACTTGACAGCTTACTATGATTACCCCTGGCATTCTCAGCTCCACCAGTCGTGCTCGCCGCAACTGTTTTCACCGCCAATCGCGGCTTCGTATCAAGCATTGCTCGCGGAAGAATGGAGACGGCGCAGAAAGGAGGACCTCGAGCCAGCGGAACAATCTCAACCACCACTGCAAACTGTGGAAAGAAAAATTACAGAACGGAAAAAAAAAAAAAAAAAAAAACAAAAAAAAAAAAAAAAACAAACAAACAAACAGAACAAGAAAAAGAAGGATTCTGGTGGTTGCTGAAAAGGGTGGGGCCCACTTAAAAGAGCATAAGCCGGGGATAGACAGACAGGCATCGATAACGAGAACCAAACGTGTCAAGACCCAAGCTGGAAAAAAAAAAGCTTCAGAACTTACTCAAAAGGCACTCAGACAGTTGGTCCAGATAATTAACACTACATTTACCACTATTTGTGTCTTACCTCTGGGTTAGTCAAGTTAGCCGCAGCACCTCGCTCCCCAGAAGCTTCCTTCACAGCATCAGCCACAGTCCTAATCACCACATCACGACTCAACTCAACATCCTCCTCCCCTTCCCCTTTCTCCTCCTCCTTCTCTCCCTCATTTCCGTCTCTCTGTCTCTCCGCCTTCTCCTTTTCTTTCTTGGCCGTTTCTTTGGCTGCAGCGCCTGAATCCTCTGCTCCTCGTTTCTTTAACGCCACTGCAAACTGGGGGGATGGATGGGCACCAGCTTGGTTTTGGCCACTGCAAACTGAAGGGGGGAGGGCGGGCACAAGCATATGAGCTAGCTCCACAGGGTTGGTTCACTATCACAGCTACCCTTCCACTATTAGAATGGGCCCATATTGTGGATTCTTTGCTTGGATCGACTAAAAAATTGGTAAAACAGCAAAGTTACCATTCTGTGTGAAAACTTTGGAACTGCTGACAGTCAGGTCTGAAAGAATACCTGCACCGGAGGTTGCTGTGCTGCTGCTGGGGGTTCTGCTGCTGTCTCAGAACCATTCAAACGTGGCTCCTCCACTCCAACTTCTGTTCCTGCTCCTCCTGCTGTTGCTGGTACTGCTGCTGCTGCTGCTGCTGCTGCTGCTGCTGCTGCTGCTGCTGCTGCTGCTGGTGGTGCTACTGCTACTGCTACTGCTGCTGCTGCTGGTGCTGCTGCTGTTGGTGGTGATGATGTTCCTGCTGGTGCTGCTGGTGAGGCTGTTGCGAAGTGATTGGCCAGCAATCGCTGCACGGTGGCTGACAGGTGGCGCTTCGTGGTTGGGCACGTGGCTTGCACAGGGCAGATGCGTTGGCACCACCTGATTGGAGCAACAGAGGAGGGGGGATGGGGGGTTTGGGTGGGGAGTGCGTGGGGGGACGGGTGAGCGAATGTTTGACAGGCAAACGAGAGAGTAGGACGAGAACAGTGGGAAGAGGGAGTGCCAGAGAAGGAGAAGAAATGAGTGTATGTGAGAGAGGTGAGTATCCGTGAAAGAATGGGGTTACTGACACGTCCTACATTGAATGGGAACCGGAAGAAAAATGAGGCAGGGGATGGAGAGAGAGGATGGAAAAAGCCGAAACTAGTCTTACACTGGCTCTCTAAACAAAGTTCTAAGCTAGCGCGTAACCAGGCTCTCTTCCGCCATCATTCCATGGAGTTTGTCTCGTTGTCCTAAAACAACACGAGTTGATGGAAGTAAGGCCTCCGCAGCCCACCTGTCCGCTTTTGACAGCTCCGGAACCAGAAGAAAAATGAGGAAGGGGATGGAGAGAGGATGGAAAAAAGGAAGAAATAGGAGGGATGGAGGGAGCGGAGAAGGAAGGGAGGGAGGGAGGGAGGGAGGGAGGGAGGGAGGGAGGGAGGGAGGGAGGGAGGGAGGGAGGGAGGGAGGGAGGGAGGGAGGGAGAGAGGGAGGGAGTGAGGGAGGGAGGGAGGGAGAGAGGGAGGGAGGGAGGGAGGGAGGGAGGGAGGGAGGGAGGGAGGGAGGGAGGGAGGGAGGGAGGGAGGGAGGGAGGGAGGGAGGGGCGGAGTGGAGTGGGATTGGAGCGGGGTAGAGCGGAGTGGAATGCAGTGGAGTGGAGTGGTTGCAACACTCACTTGAGGCCGCTCCTCTTCTTCTCATTGATGTCCTTCAGAATCTGCCTGACAACATCGACGGGGCACGGCACCTCGCTGCCTGGCACACATTTTTCCTTCTCGGGCAGCGCCAGAAAAGTTATTCCCATGCTGCCCAGCTTGACCGCCCCTAGCCCGGCTTTCAAAGCGTCTTCTGCTGCACTCTCATCCTGCTCTGTCTTGCTAACCTTGATTGCCTTAACCTCCTCCCCTGACTTGATAACTTTCTTTTCACAATCCTCCTCGTCCCCCTCGTCCCCCTCCTCGTCCCCCTCCTCTCCCCCTTCCTCTCCCTTCTCCTCTATCTCCTCTCCCTTCTTTACTCTCTGCCGTTTGGCCCCAGCATTCCCTTCAAGCCCCACAACCGAATCAGCTCCCCTTTTCCCCTCCTCCGCTGCCTCTATTTCTTCCCCTTCAGTCACACTCGCACACACTGCAGGCAGGTACTGGCATGGGAGAGAGGGGGGGGGGGGAAGGAGGGGGGGAGGGGTTAGCGGGGGAGGGACGGGTGGGTGAAGGAAGACTCATGAGATTTTGAGTCAAACTCGGAAATGGGGCACAACTCAAAAAATTGCTGGAGTGGTTAAGAATGTACGGACGTAAACAGTAGATACAGTGCAGCGCAGCAAGGAAACCTTTCAGGGACCCTTATGGAAGAATACCTTAGGGAGGATGGAAAGTGCTTCTGACGTGGCGCTCTTCTCTCGGCCTGAACACACGCCCAGCACACGCCAGGTATGCAGCAGACACACGCCAGGCACGCAATTCAGGTGTGCATACATCAAGCAGTGCCGCACACACGAACAAGAATCAACGCTTACAAAGTTATGGATGTTGGAAACGGGAGAAAGAAGTGAATGCGATCAAGAAAGGTGGGCAATATAGCTTGCCGATGATTTTTTTGTTTTCCAAAAACTAAATTTGTAAGGGACAGGGTGAGCACGTACGGAAAGCACACGTGATCAGAAACCCTTGAATTCCGCCGCCATTTCCGGATCTCAGCAGCTCCTCCCGCCGGTAGTCGAATCGCGCCATCTTCAGCACCCCCGCGTGGCGATCCCATGGGGCCACCTCCCAATCGCTCTTAACCGTTGGATTCTGACAGACATCCTCCGCCGCTTTCGACGCGGATTCCTCCGCGGCAGCCGGCGCAGCAGACGCCATGGAATTCGCCTGCTGATTCTGAAAGGGCGTCCGGCTTAGGGAAAGTAAACCAGACTCGACGTTGACGTCGGAAGGGTTGCGTAGAGCTGTATTCCGTGTATAAGGAACATTATGAAAGAGTACAATATAATCATATTTTGCTTAAAGAAGCAATTAATTAAGTTCTTCATTTTCACTTAAAGCGACGGTGCACATTTGCCACCCGAAACCCAGAACCCTGGCGAAGTGTTACTGCGGATGGAAAGTGTCCGCACGAAATCCTGGTTTTCGCCAGCCAGCACTTTCGCGCTGGCAAGCCTGGTTCAAAAAAAAAAACTTCTGAACCCAACACTGCCAAAAGTTGCCCGTCGCTTTAAAACAGGACACCGTATATGGTGCTTCGTTCTGCGCTGGCAGAAATTGTATCGTTCTGCGGTGGCAGAAATTGTCTTGTTCTGCGCTGGCAGAAATTCTCATTCTGCGCTGGCATAAATTTTATCTCTGCGCTAGCATCCGTCCCTTTCACAGCTGTCAACTCAATTTCTGCGCTCTTTTCTTGGTTCTTTTGTTCTGGTTCCTCTCGACTCGACAAGCACACCTGCTCTGCTCTTATTCCTCTTCCTTGCCCCCACCCCAATTTCTCGCCAGTTCTCCCACCCAGCCGTCGCTCTCGCTCCCATCCCGCCGTATCCTCTCCCTCACTACCCGCCTTCACCTCTCCTATTCACCTCACAGTCACTCAGCCCCACACCGCGATCTCAGCTTCCTTACTTCCCCGTCGTCGCCTCTCCCTCCTCCCCGTCGTCGCCTCTCCCTCCTCCCCGTCGTCGCCTCTCCCTCCTCCCCGTCATCGCCTCTCCCTCCTCCCCGTCGTCGCCTCTCCCTCCTCCCCGTCGTCGCATCTCCCTCCTCCCCGTCGTCGCCTCTCCCTCCTCCCCGCCGTCGCCTCTCCCTCCTCCCCGCTGTCGCCTCTCCCTCCTCCCCGCCGTCGCCTCTCCCTCCTCCCCGCCGTCGCCTCTCCCTCCTCCCCGCCGTCGCCTCTCCATCCTCCCCGCCGTCGCCTCTCCCTCCTCCCCGCCGTCGCCTCTCCCTCCTTCCCGCCGTCGCCTCTCCCTCCTCCCCGTCATCGCCTCTCCCGCCGTCGCCTCTCCCTCCTCCCCGCCGTCGCCTCTCCCTCCTCCCCGCTGTCGCCTCTCCCTCCTCCCCGCCGTCGCCTCTCCCTCCTCCCCGCCGTCGCCTCTCCCTCCTCCCCGCCGTCGCCTCTCCGTCCTCCCCGCCGTCGCCTCTCCCTCCTCCCCGCCGTCGCCTCTCCCTCCTTCCCGCCGTCGCCTCTCCCTCCTCCCCGTCATCGCCTCTCCCGCCGTCGCCTCTCCCTCCTCCCCGCCGTCGCCTCTCCCTCCTCCCCGCCGTCGCCTCTCCCTCCTCCCCGCCGTCGCCTCTCCCTCCTCCCCGCCGTCGCCTCTCCCTCCTCCCCGCCGTCGCCTCTCCATCCTCCCCGCCGTCGCCTCTCCCTCCTCCCCGCCGTCGCCTCTCCCTCCTTCCCGCCGTCGCCTCTCCCTCCTCCCCGTCGTCGCCTCTCCCTCCTCCCCGCCGTCGCCTCTCCCTCCTCCCTGCCGTCGCCTCTCCCTCCTCCCCGTCGTCGCCTCTCCCTCCTCCCCGCCGTCGCCTCTCCCTCCTCCCCGCCGTCGCCGCTCCATCCTCCCCGCCGTCGCCGCTCCTTCCTCCCCGCCGTCGCCTCTCCCTCCTCCCCGCCGTCCCCTCTCCCTCCACGCGGTTGCCTCTCCCTCCTCCCCGCCGTCGCCGCTCCCTCCTCCCCGCCGTCGCCTCTCCCTCCTCCCCGCCGTCGCCTCGTCCTCCTCCCCGCCGTCGCCTCCGGCGACAGGTGCACGAGCGCAAGCGTGAGTTGGTGCGCGAGCGCGGATTGGTGCGCGAGCCCGGGTTGTTTTCTGAGTTACCGTGGTTATCTGGTGCGTTCCCGGTTCTTTCATCCTCCCTCCTCCCTCTGAAAAAACTTTCTTCTTCTTCTTCTTCTTCTTTTGTTTGTTTGTTTTTTGCTCTCCTCGTGAAAGAGCGCGTGAGAGAGCGCGTGACAGTGCGTGTTAGAATCCGTGAGAGCGAGCGCGCCTGAGAGAGCGTGCGAGGGAGCGCGTGAGTGAGAGTGCGCGTGAGAGTGCGAATGAGAGATTGCGTGAGAGAGCGCGTGAGGGATGTGAAAATGAACGAGGAAAATGAAAAGACTAAGGGAAAGTTGGGTACAAGTACAAACCCTAGAAAGCTGTACCCCATATGTGCTACCCCACTATAGCCTACAGCAGCTAAGTCATATAAATCTGACACACCCCCATAGGCAAAGTGGGGGAGGACAAGGGGTCACAAGACCAGTCAAGCAAAGCAAAGCAAGCTCAGGGTGGATCACAACGTCACCACACATTCCGAGCACAAGTTCAAGGCCACAAGGCCAGTTCACATGCAGGATTACATATATATATAAGGCTAAACAAGCAAGAGCAGGTGTATATATATATATATGTAACAGTACAAACAAGGTCAAGGGGTGAGCAAGTGAGGCAAGGTAGGCACAAGACCCAGCTGAGTACAGAAGCGCTGATGATCACAAGGCGCAAGTGCCTTGGTGAAGATATCAGCAGTGTTGGCCTGAGAGGCCATGTACGCAAGGCGTAGCTGACCACGCTGCCGTAGCTCACGAGCAAGGAAGTAGCGAAGAGCAATGTGCTTCGTTCTGTGCTCCAGTCTCTGCTCCCGACACAAGGCCAGCATGGCCTTGTTGTCTACGTACAGCACTGGAGGAGAACGAGGCGGCTCTCCGAGGTCAGTCAGCAGGTAGGTGAGCCAGCGAAGCTCCTGTGCAGCCATGGCCCCTGCGTAGATCTCAGCCTCACAACTGGAGCTGAGAACAGAAGACGAGCGGGTAGCCCGCCACGAGACAGAGCCGGAACCAAGGCTGAAGGTGTAACCCTGTGACGACCGCTGCGTAGCCTGGTCGTCAGCCCAAGAAGCGTCTGCGTGCCCAGTGAGGACCACTGGACTCTGCCCTCCAAGCACAAGCCCCATGCCCGACGTACTGCACAAGTAGCGCAACACCCTCTTCGCTGCAGCCATGTGCTCCGGTCTGTGTCTCCCAGGAGCAACATAGCGTGCGAGAATGCTAAGAGGGTATGCAAGGTCAGGTCGAGTGCAGGTCATCAAGTACATGAGGCAGCCAACAAGCTCTGGGTACGGGCCACTCGACTCTACGGACTCATCCGAAGGCAGAGCTGAGAGCGAGTGGCGAGTAGGCAGAGGAGTGGCCTGAGGCGAGGAGTACGTGAAGCCGAAGCGCTGAAGGACCTGCTGCACCATGTGTGACTGAGTCAGGGTAATGGTGCGGCGTGCTCTGTCCCGGGTGATCTGCAAGCCAAGGTAGCTGCGCAGTTCACCCAGGTCTGTGCACGTGTGTCTCTTCTGCAGCTCGGACTTCACGTGGGCGAGTCCAGCAGTGTCAGCTGTGGCAAAGACCAAGTCGTCGACGTACACGAGGATGTAGAACGGCGGCAAAGAAGTGTCGGTGCGCAGAAACAGCGACGGGTCGGCAGTAGAGGGAGCAAACCCAAGAGCCGCAAGCGTAGTCCTCAGTGTGTCGTGCCACTCACGCGGTGCCTGGCGGAGACCGTAGACTGGCCGCCGGAGGCTCCACTGGGTGCCAGGAGGAAAAGTCCCAGTGAAGCCAAGTGGGCGGCGCAGCCAGATCTCCTCGTGCAGGCTGCCCTGCAAGAAAGCAGTGATGAAGTCAAGAGAGCGTAGCTCGTAGTCACGGTGAGCAGCTATGTGCAGCAGTACCCGAAGAGTGGTCATCTTCGGGGTGGGAGAGAAGGTCTGAAAGTAGTCAACTCCCTGCCGCTGACTGAAGCCACGAGCCACATAACGCGCCTTGAAGACAGGCGGAGAACCCGGCGGCCGCTTCACCCTGAAAATCCACATGCCACTGACGATGTTCGCCCCAGGCGGGGGAACCTCATCAACGTAGGTGCCTGTGGACTTCTAGGAAGCCATCTCTGCGTCCATAGCTGCCTGCCACTGAGAGGAGTAGGGACCCTCTATCGCCTCCGCGTAAGAGCGCGGAGTCGGGATGTGAAGTGCATCCGGGTCTCCCTCAGGGGTAAGCAGTACGGACACGAGATGAGGTGAAGCAGCAGCCAAACACTGGAACTCCTCCTGTCTGTCCTCAAGGACGTCCGTGCCAAGGGCACACTCACCCCCGACGGACGGAGGACAGACAGACTCAGTCGCAGCAACAAGACTAGCAGCGTAGTCTAGACGACAGCGAGCACCAAAGTTGACGAGCTCAGCAACTAGGGCAGACGCAGCAGTGGACTCAAAGGAAGGGTCAGTGACAACAGTAGCAAGGAGACGCGTGACAGTCGGACTGGCAGCACGAAGGGAGTCCGACTCCGGGTCAGCAAGAGCAGGAAGAGAGGACTCAGGAGGAGAAGGCAAAGGGGCACGCAGAGGAGCAGTGGACGGACGGAGAGACATCCGGTGCGTGCCGGGCACAGGGGGAGGACGCTGACGCGAACCACGACCACTAGCGCGAGCAGCACGGACAGGCGACGCAGGACGAGACGCAGGCTCACGACGCTCAGCAAGACCTCCAGTAGGACCAGTGTGGGGAGAAGGAGCAGGCAGTGGGGAGGCCGGCTGTAACTGTAACTGTGACGGGACAGGCTGTGGACACTCTAAGGGAGGAGGAGGACCAGTAGAAGGCGGGAGACCAAGAACCTGCTCAAGAAGCGGAACGAAGTACGGCCGAGGCCGCGCAGCGACTCCAGACACAGCAGGGACAGCACCAGTACCCCCAGTGGTAGCACCAGCGCCAGCAGCACCTCCAGCTCCAGTACCCGCAGCAGCTCCAGTAGCTCCAGGACCTCCAGCAGCACCAGTAGCACCCCCAGCAGGACCGCCTCCAGTACCGCCAGCAGTACCCTCAGCGCCAACACCCTCAGCAGCTCCAGCTCCAGTAGTAC